CTAGATCACCCATATCTAATGGCATTAGATATCTGGGAGCTAGGTAGGGCCCGGGAAAGGATTCGGAGGACCCGGGTAGTGAATTGCTATGATAACTGGCTTGGTGCTGAACACTGCTGGCAAGGGGAAAATCCCAGGCGCAGACGGGCCATTGAGGATGCCAATTGGGACCAGATTATTGAGGGAAGGTGCCTACTCTTAGGGGATTTCAATGCACATAGCCCTGTATGGAACCCCCGGGCAAGGGCTCGGACTAATGCAGGCCCCATGGAAGCCTTAATTGAAGGATTCAACCTCTATATCAATAACGATCCAGATACCCCGACTCGGCCAAAGTCAACACCAGGGGTATCAATCATTGACCTGTCCCTAACCACACCAGAAGTAGGGCCCCTCCCTATATGGTTTGTGGATTGCGATCATCCTACAGGGTCAGACCATGAGGTCATAGTTATGGAATGGGAACCCATAAAGAAAGCATCTACAAAGACGGTTAAGGAAGCAACTGGCTGGCAGTTACAGGCCCTTCAGGCAGACAGGGAAGCCTTAGAGAAGGCTACACAGGCTTGGAAGGAACTCGCTGCTAGCAATCCACCCCTAACAGATGCCTGTTCAGAGGAGGATATAGAAAGGGAGGCTTCATGGATCCAAGAATCTATGACAGCAGTCCTGAACCGTTTCGCCAAACCAATACGGGTATGTCCCTACTCAAAACGCTGGTGGCAAGCAGAAATCAAGCTGGCCCGAGGGGCGTATGCCCAGGCAAGGCGGGCATGGCAGACAGGGACCTTAGGGGATAGGGAACATCGAGAAGCTCGGAACACCTACTATAGAGCCATACGCCGGGCAAAGCGGGAGTGCTGGGAAGCCTTTCTAGTAGGGCCTCTGGAATCTAGGGACCGCCTAGGCCCAGAGGATGCTACCCGATGCTGGAAGGCCCTCCGGTATACCACCCCGAAAGCTTCAAGTACGACCCTACCCTCCGGGGCCCCTAGGGCCAGGTGGCGACCACTATTACTGAGAAGGAGGCCCTAGTCTGGGAGGTGGCATTCCCACCAGCCCCTAGAGGGAGCCCTCAAGAAGACCTTCCCTGTGGGAAGATTCACACTTAGGTTAAGGAAGAGACAGTGCGGCGTGCCTTATTTAGCCAGGCAATCCAGAAAGCCCTGGGGATAGATAGGCTGAACTTCTGAGCCCTATGGCTCCTATGGAGCTGGGACAGCCCCTGGATAGTGGCATTAGCTAGGCAATGCTTTCGCCTAGGGGTTCATCCCCAGGCATGGAAAGTAGTAAAGGGGATCCTGCTCCAGAAACCTAATAAGCCTGACTATACCCTAGTCAAGGCATATAGGGTGATCAGCCTGCTCAACTGCCTGGGGAAGGTTATAGAAAAGATAGCGGCAGAGGCCATTTCTGACTATTGTGAAACCACAGGGGTCCTACATCCTAGCCAAATAGGGAGCCATAGGCACTGGAGTGCCACAGATGCTGTTGCATGCCTGATCTAGGAGGTGCACTAGGGCTGGGAACAGAAACAGCTTGCAGGGGCTCTTTTCATAGATGTAAAGGGAGCCTTTGACCATGTGGACCCAGTCAAGCTAGTCAGAAGGATGGGGGAGTTAGGGTTAGATAGGGACCTGATCCGCTGGGTACATTCATTCCTAACTGACTGGAGGGTTCAGTTGGTAGTTGATAGTTACTAGTGCCCAGAGCACCCTATTAACTCTGGGGTCCCCTAAGGATCCCTAGTATCCCCTATACTATTTGTGATCTACCTGAGCAGAGTCTTTGGGGCTATAGAGGCAGCTGTCCCAGGGATATGGGCCCTATTATTTGCAGACGATATAGGCCTTATAGCCCTAGGGAGCTCAGTAGATCAGACCTGCAGGCAGCTATAGC